TGCCATCTGTCACTACTGAGAACAGCCTCTCTCCATCCTCTTTGGACCCTCCCTTCAGGAAGTTGAAGGCTGCTGTCAAATCCCCCCTCACTCTTCGCTTCTGCAGACTAAACAGACCCAAGTCCCTCAGCCTCTCCTCATAGGTCATGTGCTCCAGCCCCCTAATCAATTTGGTTGCCCTTCGCTGGACCCTCTCCAATGCGTCCACATTCTTTCTGTAGTGGGGGGCCCAGAACTGGACACAATACTCCAGATGTGGCCTCACCAAAGCCGAATAAAGGGGAACGATGACATCTCTGGATCTGCTGGCAATGCTCCTCCTAATGCAACCTAATATGCCATTAGCCTTCTTGGCTACAAGGGCGCCCTGTTGACACACAATCGTGGTGTCTCCCACCATGGTTTATACCTGTGGTTCTTTCCACAGGAGCTGTGACCTGCAGTAAGTGTTGTGACTAGCCAGTTTGCCGGCCTCCTCCTCCTCCTCCAAAAAAAGGGACAATATACTGACCAGGGTAAGAACACAGAGAAAATATGAGCAATTAAATCACTGCAGTAGTTTTGTTGAACAAACATTGTTAGCCAGGCTCATTTTGCCCTTAGGAAACATGGCATCAGTTTCTAACAGACCATGAGAAGTGTTCATCCGCCCGCTAGTCCGTCCATGTATTTATACCAAAGGATACAAAATTATATAAGGACCTGGTTGCCCTAATCTGTGTATATATGTAGCCAGGTCGGCTCTGGAAGGGGCTTCTCCCCGTCTGGGTCAATGGGCTGTCTCTCCGCCCCACTACACACTAGGTCTGTTTCCCCGAGGGGAATTAGCGGTGCTGGGCCTTCTGCCTCCAGTCATTCCCCAGTCACACTCAACAAGTCCTAGGCTCTGGCCTATGATGAGGCTGGCTAACAGTCGCCGAGTCCTGGTCACGGTTCAAGGCCCCACTAGGGAATAAGGGCTACAATAGTTCAAGCCCTAGTTCAGGGAGAGGGAGCAAACAAGCAGATCTCCTTGCTCGGGCAGGGGTCCAGCAAATGCAGACTGTCAGGCTGGAACAGCTGAGACCACCCAGGACTGGAGTGGTGGGGGGATGTGGGCCTACGCACTTCGCTGTGTCCTGGCCTGCTCCTGGATTCGCCCTGTGTAGGGGTAAACTGAGGCAGTCCATGGTATTTTGCTAAGAACCCCTATCCAATTCCAAATCTGGGACAGGCCTGGGAACACACAGCACAAGCAGTTAACATAACCTTGGTTGCTCTGGCAACCGCATTCGAAGAGGGCCTCGCTCCGATAAGACGCTGGCTGGTACCAAAATAACTTTTGTGGAAACTGTTCTCACTGTCCTCCTTTAACCCTAGATAATAAGCCTGGAACCGAAGGACTACGGCAACGTGAGGCAGTATCACCCCACAGTAGATGCATCATAATTTCAGCAGACAAAGTTACCAATAACATGTCTGTTTTGTTTATGTTGGCTTCTTTAGCTTGTTAGGAGTAACTACCTGTATTATTGATAAGATGTTTAATTGGCGATGGGCGGAGCTGCTGTGTAACCTTTTTAGTTGATTGGCTTACGTGATCATTCCGTCTTGCTGCCGGACCCTATCAAATTTCTTCTCCTCCGTCCATCTGCCGCCTATATAATCTATTGTAATGTTTTGTTTCACCAGTGTTCACCAGCCTAAAAGCTGAGGGCCACTCCACCAGCTGTGTGTAATAAATCCTCTACTTGTTTTCACCTGCATCCAGAGTTGTCCAGAATTATTCCCTACAATGTGTGCATATGTATATATATATATCTGGCTGCTTCCACTTTTTCCCTGCACACATGTCTGGCTCCAGGGCATTTCCTCTGTGCTTCGCAGGGCTGGAACCACTGGCACAGTGAGCAGTTCCTCCAAGCCGTGGCCCAACTGGGGTTCTGGTGGTCAGGGCCAGTCCTCAGCTTCCCTCAGATCCAGCTCCCCGCTTGCAATCACAGGGGAAGTTCCTGGTTCCTCTGGCAGCTGGGGGCTGATTGACCTCTCAGGCAGGTCTTTTATAGTTCTGGCCCCGCCTCCTGACTTCTGGTCAGGTGATGAGCTGGGGCTGGGCATTGCCCACCAGGGTTCCGGGAGGGGCATAGGTCTATCTGAGAGTCCTTCTTTCTGTCTTCTTGCAAGTCCATTGGTTCAAGAACTCCTCCTAACTTAATGCAAGGTCAAAGTCTGATTGTGTCAGGACAATGAGAAGTGCCTGGAATGGGACTGGTTTCTATACCTTGGAAAGGAAGGGGACTGATCGGAGAGACAGCGACACTGCAGGATGACCACATGGGGGCAGCATCACCAGCAAGAGAACGGCCAGATGGGTTTGGCGCTTTCCATATTGCCGGCCACCGGACGAGTTGAGTGGACATAATTCCACTGTGATGGATTGAGAAGAAGCATCATGCCCATTGGCTCTGCTGCCTCATCTCCCGCCTCAGAAGACATGGGGCAAGGAACCCTTCCAAGGAGACACTTCCCCCTGCCCGAGGAGAAGCTGGGAACCAGGGCCCAGCCCTGGACCAGCTGAAGGCCAGGATAACCCCTGCAGCCCTGTGGCTGTGAGGGAGAGCAGAAAGATGCAGGGCAGTCCCCTGGCCCAACAGGCTGGACACTGGGGATGGCCTGTGGAGCCCAACCCGCCAGAACAGATGGAGGGTGGGGGTGGGAGGAGAGGGCAGGAAGATGCCAGGCACGGTCCCCCTGCCAGCAGGCTGGAAGCCGGGGACGGCCTGTGGAGCCCAACCCCCCAGAACAGATGGAGGGTGGGGGAGGGCCAGCTGAAGACCGGGGATGGTTCTTGGATCCCTGACCCCCAACCTCAGAAGGCGGCTCAACCTGGGGAGTGCAGCCCCATGACCCAGGAAAAGTCTCCTTTTTGGATCCCTGACCCCCAACCTGCCAGGCCTCTGGTCCAGAATCCTCCCTACCCTGAGTCCCACACCATTCATGCCCTGGCTTGGGTCTTGTGCCTCGATACCCTATTCCGCCTGTCCTGAGCCACACTTTAGCCCCAATGCTTTACTCCAGCACCCTCCCCCCCACATACCAACCCCTGAGCTCTTCTTCACCAAACCCTGACTCCTTCTCCCCAACTCTTCCACCTCCTGCCCTGAGCCCCCCCACACACCTACCATGCCCCGCCCTCACACCCGTCCCCCTGCTCCCTGCCCTAAGCTCTCTCCCCTACCATGAGTCCTATACCCCCACCCTCTTCCCTGAGCCCCCACCTCCTGCCCTGACTCCTGCACCCTCCACTCCCTGCTCTGAGCCACATTGGTCAAATCAAGCACATACATTGCCCTTTAATTAACAAGCCCCAACTTCACTATAGTTAAGGACCGGAGCAAGGCCTGACAACTCTGCTAGAGTATAACAAATCATCCCATCCACATTAAATTAATCATTTCAATAGAACTCATCTAGCTACCCATTAATTTTTCATATTTGGGGAAAGGAAAACCTCCAATCTCTCTGGCGATGTCTACACTGCAGAGTTTTTCTGGAAGGTATGTGTAGACAACAAAATCAACAGATATCCCCCATGAAATCCTACATATTTCATCCAGCAAATTCCTACCCCACAAATATCAGATGGAACACAGAAACAAGTTAGCCAAGGAATCACTAAAATGCAATAAAAGGGAAAAGCAAATACCCAAACCAAAGTTCTCATACCCCCACCACAATTTTATCCCCGAAAAGGAGAAGAGGAAGAGACTTCACAAAGACCACTAGTGACTTAGCTGTGGCTAGTAATCTTCTGTGCAAAATGTTGTGCAACAGTGATATTAAATCCCTGCGAGAGAGGAACAGGTGTGTATCTAGATGGGGGGCTGTGAGGAGCACATTCTGCTATAATTTACACTGGTCTAGTGCCAAATTAATCCATTTAACTTCAGCTGCGCTAGTCCGCATTTTATAAATAAGCTGAGGCTGCAATCATAAGCTCTGAAGGACATTTCACTTCCCGGGCTTTATTTGCATATTCCCATCCAGTCGTCATTTTTAAATGTCACTAGTCCGGACTAACTGCCCGCGGATACACACGACAGTTAAACGGTAATTTGAACTACGTCCTTAGTTCGAATTAGCTGTTATACCTCATTCCAGGTGTGACCGAAAAAAAATGGCGACAGAACAGGAACATGCAAATAAAGCCTGGGATATTTAAATCCCGGGCTTCATTTGCAAGTTCAAATGCCTACATTAGCCTCTGTAGTTCAAACTAGGGGGCTAGTGTAGACATACCCATAGAGATTAACCTCCACACCATCAGTTTCTTGAGGGCTGCTTTGAGCTCCTTGTTCCTCAGGCTGTAGATGACCAGATTCAGCATGGGGGGCACCATGGCGTAGAGAACACCCACCAAGCGATCCAGATGCTGAGCTGGAGGTGAGTTTCAAGCTCTCTCTCCTCTTCTTCAATTTCTGTAGTGCAGGAGCTGGCACATGTATTGGTCGTAGACCATGATGGGGAGTAAGGCAAGATCTGTTGAAGTGAAGATGACAAAGAGAAATACTTGGGTGACATAGGCAGGGTAGGAAATCAACCTGGTACTCAGGAGACTGTTCAATACGGATTTTGGGACAATGACAGAGAAGGAGTCAAGTTCTAGGATTGTCCAAGAAGAAGTATATTGGAGTGTGAAGATGGTGGTTGAGGGCGATAATGACTGAGATGATGAGAAGATTCCCCACCAAGGCTGCCAGGTAAAGCCCTAGAAATACCACAAAGTGCAGAACCTACAGCCAGGTGAATAGGGATGTTTGTGGACAGGTATTTAGATTCAGGTCTTACTTACGCTGTTACGATTCAAAATTAACTCATTTACAGCCATTGGCGTTAGTCTGGATTTTTTTACTTCCTAATCAGGTGTATCCTATCTTGTCAAGGAAAGAATTTTGTAATCTGCTTATTGGATCCGTAAAGGAGTTCAGCACAATCATAGTCAAGTCACATTGACAGACACTTTAATTCTTCACGAATAACCTCCACATGATCAGTTTCTTTAAGGCAGCTTTGAGCTCCTTGTTCCTCAGGCTGTAGATGACCGGATTGATCATTGGAGGTACCAGGGAATAGACAACAGCCATCGTAAGATCCAAATATGATGCAGAGGTGGAGGTGGGCTTCAGGTATGCAAAACAGCCCGTAGAAAGTAACAAAGAGACCATAGTGAGGTGAGGGAGGCAGGTGGAGAAGGCTTTGTGCCGGCCCTGCACCGAACGGATTCTCAGCACCGCTCTGAAGATCTGAACATATGACACAATGATAAATGCAAAGCAACTTAAACATAAAAACAGACCACAGGCAATGACCCCATTTTCACTGCTGTAGGAGTCGGAGCAGACTAACTTGAGGAGCTGGGGAATTTCACAGAAGAACTGGTCAATGACATTGGATTGGCAGAAGGGTAAGTTGAAGGTACTCCCGGTGTGCAGGGCAGAGTAGACAATACCAGCAAGCCAGGCACCGGCAGCCATATAGACACAGGCTCTCCTATTCATCACTTGCTCGTAGTGCAGTGGCTGGCAGATGGCGACGTATCGGTCGTAGGCCATGGTGGTGAGAAGGGCAAGATCAGTTGAAGTGAAGACTAAAAAAAGAAAGACTTGGGCAACGCATCCAGCATAGGAAATCACCCTGGTGTCCAGGAGGGAGTTAACCATGGATTTGGGGACGGTGACGGAGATGGAGCCGAGGTCTAGGATGGACAGATTCACCAGGAAGAAGTACATGGGGGTGTGCAGACGGTGGTCGAGGACTACCGCTGAGACGATGAGAAGATTCCCCATTAGCCCTGCCAGGTAAAGCACCAGGAACAGCACAAAGTGCAAAATCTGCAGCTCCCGGACGTCAGAGAATCCCCGGAGCAGGAACTCAGTCACGGTGCTTCGGTTGGACATTTTCTTCCTCAGTTCCCAGTGTGACGGCTGGAGAGGGAAGGACACAGGCAGGGGTGGGGATTAGAGCGATACATAGAATGGCCCCGATTCCCAGCAGTAACCTCTCATGCGGTGGGTGTCCACCACGCACAGCGCCCTAGGGCAGTGAGTGACCACACAGGTGTCAATTTATCTGCCATGCCCAGCACCTGTCCTTGCTACTCACTAGGAGCAGTGAGTTACCACACGTATCAAATGGCCTGGACTCCGTTATTTTCACTTTCAAATGACCCGCTTTCGAAAGTGGGATCGGAAGCA